GAAACTTCCAAAGAGCATTCTAAAAGGAAGTTCAAATTCTGATACTGAGTACTGGATTATCTTAAGATTTCAGGATCTGAAGGCAATAATGTCTCCTAATTTGGCATTACATTTCAATAGTTATTCTGGTGATGAATAAATAGAGTTTAAAAGTCTATAAAAAGGGTAATTGATTAAGAAGCTAAAGCTCAGAAACCCAAACCTCTAAAACCATCTGTTTTATGAAGGTAAAGATCCTAGTTGAGGCTGGGTGCAGTGGCTCATGCCTGTAATCCCAGCATTCTGGGAGGCCAAGGCAGGAGGATCACTTGAGCTGAGGAGTTTGAGACCAATCTGGACAACATATCAAGACCCCATCTCTACTAAAAATCAAAGAATTAGAAAGGTATGGTGGTGCATGCCTATAGTCCCAGCTACTCAGGAAGCTGAGGCAGGAGGATTACTTGAGCCAGGAAATTGAGACTGCCGTGAACTGTGATCCTGCACGCTAGCCTGGGTGACAGAGTAAGACCCTGTCTCAAAACAAAAATTTAAAAAGACCTCCAGGCCGGGCGCGGTGGCTCACGCCCGTAATCCAAGCACTTTGAGAGGCTGAGGCGGGTGGATCACGAGGTCAAGAGATCAAGACCATCCTGGTCAACATGGTGAAACCCCGTCTCTACTAAAAATACAAAAAATTAGCTGGACACAGTGGCGTGTGCCTGTAATCCCAGCTACTCAGGAGGCTGAGGCAGGAGAATTGCCTGAACCCAGGAGGCGGAGGTTGCCGTGAGCCGAGATCGCGCCATGCACTCCAGCCTGGGTAACAAGAGCGAAACTCCATCTCAAAAAAAAAAAAAAAAAAAAAAAAGACCTCCAAATCCAACAGAACAAAAGCTCCATGAATGCAGGAGCTGTCTGGTTCACCATTCCATCTCTAGCATGTGCCTGGCACATAGTAGGCACTTAATATATTTTTGTTGAATGAATGAGTATAGCTGAATAAATAAGCCATGCAGGAATGCAGTTTCCAAATATCAAAAGTTCAAGGAGAGATCCATTTTCAGTAAAGATTTTAACATGTAATATTATCTTTTCCACGGGTTTTTAAGAATGTTCTCTGTTATGCCTTAACTGTCACTATAATTATCTGTTTCTCAAAAACAAAATGTCCAATTGGAAGATAAATAGTCCCTGATCCAGATGAACCCCAAAGAAAAATATTTAAAAAGGAGAAAACTGAGATGAAAAGCTGTCACACACAGCCTACCCACCAGCAAAAACTGGATCTGCACATTTGATAACAACGCTTTCCAAAACTGTTTCCTCTGGTTCTATTTCAGCTAGGTAAGCATTTTTTTAGTCTACTGACTTTAAAAAGTTTTCCCTTTTATGTAGCCAAGAACATGTATTTCCCTTGCCCTCTCTTGGTCCTCTCAAATTTTCTCACAACTTACCTGTGTGGCTTTTCACCAGAATTTCTTTTGTTTGGAAAATCCTCCTTCTTCCTCCAAACTCAACCTGAAAGCATCTTCCCCCTAAATATTAGCCTTTCTGATTTTATAGAAGCTTCATTTCCTTGCAGCAGAGGGCTGGTCTAGCTCTTAAAACTAAATTCATTTTGCTCCATAAAAATAAAAATAAAATCAAACCACAGCAAAGCACAGAATCGCCTACCAACACGCGTCCTTTCTGCCAGCTGCTCATCCCAATACGCCTTTCTGGTGGTGACCTTGGATTCCCTTCAACCTTCTGGTGACTCAATTTTCCAAACCACAGAATTTTTCCCTACCAATTTCATAAATCCTGAATCATTTTGTGTTACAGATTGTCTCCCAGCTGGGTGCAGTGGCTCATGCCTATAATCTCAGCTCTTTTGGAGGCCAAGGTTGGAGGATCACTGGAGGCCAGGAGTTCAAGATCAGTCTGGGCAACACAGTAAAAACCTCAATGCTATTAAAAAATATGTATATATATACATATACATATTTTTTTCATTTATCAAGGTAGTTTAGCCTTGGGAAACATATATATATGTTATAAAAATAAATGTTATAAATATGTTATATGTATTATATGTTATGTATATATAACATATATATAATACATATATGTTATATATATATAATACATATATGTTATATATATATATAATACATATATGTTATATATATATATATAAAATACATATATTATATATATATGTTTCCCAAGGCTAAACCACTTTGATAAATGAAAGGAACTATGGACAGAAATGAGCTTACTTGCAATAATACCCCCTAATGTGTTTAACCCTTTGCACAAATGTTGTCAGGGAGTGATGAGATGGAAGGAGGAAGGAATGCACTTTACAAATACTTCATCAAGATGATTTCATTTAATCTTCCTAATAACCTTGGGAGGCAGTCAGGGCAGGCATTTATTACTCTCATTTACAGATGACAAAACTAAACTTCAAAAAGGTTTAGGTGGCTCGCCCAGCCTGTATCACATGACTAGCAAGTATCAGCCCAAACCTGTATTAAAGTTGTGCCTTTCCAACCCCAAGGCTGCCTCTATCTCTGTAAGTTTCTGTCTACAGCCAATGAGCAACTTCCTAGAGAGTCAGCATTTCAAAGGGAGAGTAGAGCTCTGACTTTTGGAACACCGTCTCCCTTCAGCTACTGGGCCGGAAAGCCATCTTCAATCTTCCCAAGAAAAAACAGTGCCTTTCTCTTCTACATACCACTCTTAGCAACTACTTATTTCCAGAATAATTTCCAACAGTTCCTGTTTTACTCATAAGACACTAATAGTCCAAAAAGTTTGCATCAGCATATGATTTTCTCAATAAAGTTCAGGGCTGATGCAACATTTCTCAGTCAAACTTTACAGCTAAAATGACAAGAACACAGAACAGTCAAAAAATTATGCAAGACAATGCTACAGTTTTTTACTCCAACACATCTGCCTCTGTGGGTCTCCTGTGAGTCACTGTCTTTCATATTCAGTCATCACTGTAAGAACTGCCATTTTCTACCCTCAATTGTTTTATTTTTTAAAGAAAAGATCTGCAGAGGCCAAGTGTAGTGGCTCATGTCTGTATACCAGCACCTTGTGGGGCTGAGGTGGGAGGATGGCCTGACTCCAGGCGTTCCAGACCAGGCTGGACACTGGACAACATGGTGAGACACTGTCTCTACACACACACACACACACACACACACACACACACACGGAAAAGATCCACAATAAAAACAGAATCCTATTACATCCTTCACCACCTAAAGCAATGATCTCTAAGTTATTTTTTCAATTTTCATAATTACCAGTTTACACAAACAGAAAAAGAGGCATAGTAAGGTTGAAGTTCAATTATTCAGTCATTCAATAAGCACATTTGAAATCCTATCAAAAACCAGAGAATAAGACCCAAGAGTGAGAAAGAAGTGTCCCTCTCTTGTAGCCTGGTGGAGAGAAAAATTAAAAGAAGTAATTACAGGACAAACCAATCAAGATTAAGGTGTGGGGAGGCACATGGGCTGTAGAAAGCATGGAATGCTTCCTAAAGAAAGTAATTTGTGAGTATTTATAAACATCTATCTCTTTACTTTCAACGCAAAATAAACCTGAAGGACTGAAAGGTTATAAGACTTATTTGCCAATAGTCAAGTCAAAAATCAAACTTCCTAGCTGAATTACTCTTGACTCCCTATCCTAAATTTCAACCCTTAAGCCATACTCCCTTTAGGTGCAAATGATAGCAAGGGAGTCCTATATGTGCCTTCTCACGTGTCTATAGAATATGACTAAAGATACACAGTGAAATAAATCACATTTTTTAAAAAGATAATCATATTATTAACTGGAAGTGAATGCTTCGAACAATTCAAGCCCTACAAAGCATGGCTGTCAGAAGAGGAAACCGAGGTTCAAAAAAGTCTCACTTTAATGCAACAGAATGAAAGGTCTCTTTGAAGTCACCAGAAGAGCTTGAAAGAAAAGAAACAGAAGGCTATTGTGGGCTTTAGCCTCCAGATGATGATCCCCCAAACACACTGCTACGATAAACAAACAAGCCTCTGAGCCTGAAACTGATTCGGTGGCCTGACAAAACATCACAATTGAAGGAATCTCTCCTCATTCATCACTTCTCCAAAAAAGTCCCACTGGCTGGTAGCCCCAGGTTTCTTGCTGGTTCCTGGATTTATTGCTTGTAAATTATAATGCATAGTGTACCTTTCAAAATAAGGTACAAGCAAATGAAAACAACCACGGTTTTAAAGCCCCATAAAAGACAGTATATATAGCAGAAAAGAACTCTGTCCGTGTTTACTATGAGGACCTATTACTCCTTTATGCTACTCGAGTGGATTTTAAACCCAAATGAATGCCACCATTGCCCACTAAAGAGCAAGTTAGAGAAGCACATTCATACACCTGCTTCAGCAGTCCCCTCTGGCTGCCGCCCCCACCACTTCCCCGGGCCAGGGCCAACCGGCTGACCAGGAAACTGGGCTGCAGACCCCAGCCACTTGCACTCTGCTGTCCCAACAAGTAGGCTCTGAAGGCACACTTCCATTTGGCCCGGTACACCCTCAGTCGCATCACCCAGACCCTCTGCTGCCAGAAGGAAACTCCACGGCCTCAAAAAGGAAAAGGCAGGCGGCGGGCAGAAGTGGATAGTCTTGAGTGGTCTCGTTCCCGCTCCCCTCGTCCAAGGGGAGCCCAAGGGGGCTCCCGCACCTCCCGCCCCCGAACTCCGAGGCGCTTTCCAGGTCGCCGCCGAGCTCCTTCCACTCCGCGGCGCCGGGGGCTGCGTTCCCCATCCTCTGCCCCTCCGGGCCTCTGCGTTCGCCTGGGCCCCGGGGGCCCTGACCCAGACCCAGCGGCGCGCCACAGCCTTCCTGGCCAAGGCCGCCCACCCTGTGGCCCGGTCCCCGTCCGACGACCCTGTCCGGCCAGCGCCCTGCAGCCCGCAGCCCCTTCGTGGCCCGGGGCCACCCCAAGCCGACCGCCCGCCCGCCCGCAGGGCCGCGCACCGTGTGGGACTGCAGGCTCTGGCTCGCCTCGATGGCTGCTGTCAACGGCACCGTGTCGTCCAACAGCACCTTGCCGGCTGGCGGCTTCTCCATGAAGGCCATCCCGGGACGCCCGGCCGCCGCCGCCCAGGGACGCGAGGCAGGAACCCGAAGCGCCGACTCCCGCCGCCCGCCAGGCTCCAACGCCGCCGCTGTCAACACGCGCCGCCCCACGCTCTGCCGGGCCCGTGGGGTCCTAGCGCCGCCTGTCCCACTGCCGCCACCGCCCCGGAGTCCTAGCGCCGACCTAGCGGAGACGACGCGGGGGCCGCCAGCACTGCCGCCCTCAGGTCCGCGCATCCGCCTCACGGCTGCCAAGAGCCTACGCCTCCCAGCTCCTCGCAGCCGCACCGCAGACTCGGTGCCCTTAGCTCCGGGCATCGGATCTGGGAACACCACCCTAAGCCATCACCACCAGGATCCTCGGATCCAGAGACGCTTGGTCCTGAGCCCTGGGATCCAGGAATCTTCAGGGCGAGATTTCCAAACCAGGCCTCTCAGAACTGTGCTTTTCTGGGACTGTACGTCTTGAAATCCTCAGAACTGGACCTCTCTCATACCTCCAGGCCCAAGAACTCAGAAAAAGGGCCTTCAGGATGGGATCCCCCAGTCTGAGCCCTGCAGACCCAGAGGCTTTCTGAAACAAGCCCTTCAGATTGAGACTTCACAGGGACTCTTGAACCAGCTCTTCAGACCTGAACACCTAAGAGCTGGACCCCATAATTGCAGACCTTGGAACCCAGAACACTCGGACCCAAGCTCTAAGAACTGGAGACCCTATAAAATGGTCCAGAGACCCCTAGCCTCTACTCTTGGCTCCCACTGCCTGCTCAGCCACATCCCTTAGACTTGGGAGTTTTTGATCCCACCACATGGACTCGAAGACCTTCAAACCAAGAGCCAAGCCCGAGAAACTTGTGATTAACTTCTCAGCCCTAAATCAGCCCACAGTCTGCCTGAACCCAAAGCCATAATCCTGGCACCACCTTATCCCCTACCCCCCATACACACATAGAAGTTTCACCCACACTGCCCTCTCCTAGGGCAGCATTCCAGGATAGTGAAGAGTTAAGTTTAGAATAGGATGACCATCATCTCCGTGGCTCTAGCATTTACCAGCTGTGTGATCTTGAATAAGTTACCCAACCTCTCTGAGTCCCAGCTCCCCAATCTGCAAAGTGGAGATAATGTTATTTGTATGAAACGGTTAATACAAGGAATGCAGTAGACTGGGAAGGGGCTTGGCACCTTGAGTTTTAATAAAAACTCAAACAGTAGTCAGGCGCCACCGCTCACGCTTGTAATCCCAGTACTTTGGGAGTGGCAAGGCAGATGGATCACCGGAGGTCAGGAGTTTGAGACTATCCTAGCCAACATGGCAAAAACCCCCTCTACTAAAAATACAAAAATTAGCTGGGCATGGTGGCATGCCCTGGTAGACCTAGATACTCAGAAGGCCGAGGCAGGAGAATTGCTTGAACTCGGGAGGCACAGGTTGCAGTGAGCCAAGATGGTACGACTCCACTCCAGCCTAGGTGACAGAGTGAGACTCCATCTTAAACAAACAAACACAAAACAAACAAACAAAAACCTCAAACAGTGGTCAGTTGTGATGGCTCACCTTTGTAATCCCAGCACTTTGGGATGCTGAGGAGAGTGGATGGCTTGAGCCAAGGAGTTCAGCCTGGGCAATATGGTGAGAGCCCATCTCTAAAAAAAAAATTAAAAATAACTGGGCATGATGGCTCACACCTGTGGTCCCAACTACTCAGGAGAAGGCTTAGGTGGGAGAATTTTTTGAGCACAGGAGGTTGAAGCTGCAGTGAGCCATGATCATACCACTTCACTCCAGCTTAGGCAACAGAGCAAGACTCTGTCTCTGGAAAAACAAAGTCAATATTAGTTTCCTCCTTCCCCTACAGCTCATAGAATGGAAGGTTCCTAATTCTTAAATTTGCCTCCACTAAACTTCTACATTTCAGATAAGAAAACAAAGTTTCTTGGCAATCCCACCACTACCACCAAAATTTGACATCACAGGAAAGGCCCACATCATATATAAAATATCCCTTCTCCAGATCTCAAGCTTAATGGGATTGCTGGGCAGCCCCATGGAGTCAAGTGGCCATGACAGATTGGCCTCGGGGGCCAAGATCCAATAAATCAAGCTAGATGTGAAGAAGGAATCATGGAACTTCATGATTCAGCCCTAAAATAATCAGAACTCTCCCTCCATTCCATTTTTGTCTCACTGTATTTAAAAGCAACAGTCTATTAAAGCAAAACCATATGTCATTTAGGGAGGATTCAACTTTTTACTTTCATTTCTTTGTTTAAGGCAAATTGATTATTTCACTACCAGAGTCACAGAAACCAAAATCCCGCTATATCGTGATATGGACTGACCAAGACAAGGCTCTTTTCTCTTACTGCTGGTGGGATTATAAATTGGCCCGACCTTTCTGGAGGACATTCATACATTCATTCAACAATTATTTGCCAAGTACCTACTATGTAATAGGCCTGGTACTAGAAGCTAAAACAAATATGTATTAAAGGCTTTAAAAATGTTCTTATCCAACGACCAAGTAATTCTGCGTCTAGGAAGGTATCCTAAGAATATCCTAAGAATAATTAGAGATCAGAGCAAAATATCATGCAAGGATAAATGTCTAACAATTGAGTTTTGGACAAATCTTGGTATAATCGTGAATTTTTTGCAACATTAAAAATCAGGCCAGGCTACGTGGTACATGCCTGTAGTCCCAGGTACTCAGGAGGCTGAGGTGGGAGGATCACTTGAAACCAGAAGGTTGAGGCTGCAGTGAGCCAAGACTGCATCACTGCATTCTAGCCTGGGCAACAGAGCAAAACCTGTCTCAAAAAATATATAAAAAAAAAAAGTCACATAATTAAAGAATATTTGGTGATCTTGAGAAATGCTCTTAATAGTAAGCAATTTAGTACCTGTATAATCCCAATGTATCTATAGGACAAACACCAGAAGGAAATATATCAAAATATGGGCTGAGTGTAGAAGCTCACACCTGCAATCCCAGCACTTTGAGAGGCTGAGGTGGACAGATCACTTGAGGTCAGGAGTCTGAGGCCAGCCTGGACAACATGGTAAAACCCTGTCTCTCCTTTTAGAGAAAAATTAGCCAGAGCATGGCGACTCACACCTGTAATTCCAGCTACTCAGGAGGTTGAGGCAGGAGAATCACTTAAACCCAAGAGGTGGAGGTTGCAGTGAGCCGAGATTGTGCCACTGTACTCTAGCCTGGGTGACAGAATGAAACTCCATCTCAAAAATAAATAGACTGGGCGCAGTGGCTCATGCCTGTAATCCCAGAATTTTGGGAGGCGGAGGCGGGCAGGTCATGAGGTCAAGAGATCGAGACCATCCTGGCCAACATGGTGAAACCCCATCGCTATTAAAAATACAAAAATTAGCTGGGCATGGTGGCACACGCTTGTAGTCCCAGCCACTCCAGAGGCTGAGGCAGGAGAATTGCTTGAAACTGAGAGGTGGAAGTTGCAGTGGGCTGAGATCGAGCCACTGCACTCCAGCCTGGAGACAGAGGGAGACTCCATCATAAAGAAACAAACAAATAAATAAATAAATAACGGTGGGCCTCTAGGAAGGAGAATCGCGATGCTTTATTCTGTATGCTTTTCTGCATGTAACTTTTATGATTAAGGGGGAAAAATGTTAGACAACTGGAGTCCAGTACTCTGACAACTGGTTCCATAAGTTAGAAAAGTAACAGGAAGAAGGCTTCTCTGAATCTGGCCAGCTGGTAGTTAGCTCCATTTTCTCTGTGATCTGTGCAAACGCACAAGCCAAATGTGTGTTTTTGTAAGAGAAATCAACTTGTCCATGGTTCATACTTTACAAGCAATTTCACATGCTCTGAGGAATGCATTTTGCATACTTTTACAAATTAGATTATTTTTGTTTAAGATTATATGATTGGTAGATAACAATCTCCATGCATATGTTTTTGACAAATGATCACAGTAGTGATTTTTTTCAAAGTCAATAAGTGGTACTTGAAAACTTTAGAGCCAGGCGCAGTGGCTCAAGCCTGTAATCCCAGCACTTTGGGAGGCCAAGGTGGGTGGATCACGAGGTCAAGAGATCGAGACCATCCTGGTCAACATGGTGAAACCCTGTCTCTACTAAAAATACAAAAAATTAGCTGAGCATGGTGGCGTGTGCCTGTAATCCCAGCTACTTGGGAGGCTGAGGCGGGAGAATTGTTTGAACCCAGGAGGTGGAGGTTGCAGTGAGCCGAGATCACGCCTTTGCACTCCAGCCTGGGTAACAAGAGCAAAACTCTGTCTCAAAAAAAAAAAAAAAAAACTTTCGATATTGCAGGTCCTAAAGAGGACAAAATGGAAAAGAAGCAAACTCCTTTTTGTCCAATAATTTTTAAGGAGGGTAGAAAAGATTGTCACAGTAATCCTAGCACCTTGGGAAACTGAGATGGCAGGATGGCTTGAGGCCAGGAATTCAAGAGCATCCAGGGTAACATAGTAAGACCCTGTCTCTACAATGTTTTAAAAAATTAGCCAGGTGTGGTGGTGTGTAGCGCATGCCTGTAGACCTAGTACTCAGAAGGCTGAGGTGGGAGGATATCTTGAGCCTGGCAATTTGAGTGGCAGTGACCTGTGATTGTACAAATTGCCCTCCAGCCTGGGCAACCCAGCAAGACTCTGTCTATAAAAAAAATTAAAATGAGGCCAGGCCCGGTGGCTCACGCCTGTAATCCCAGCACTTTGGGAGGCCGAGGTGGGTGGATCATGAGGTCAAGAGATCGAGACCATCCTGGTCAACATGGTGAAACAGTCTCTACTAAAAATACAAAAAATTAGCTGGGTATGGTGGCGCGTGCCTGTAGTCCCAGCTACTCGGGAGGCTAAGGCAGGAGACTTGCCTGAACCTAGGAGGCGGAGGTTGCAGTGAGCCGAGATCGCACCATTGCACTCTAGCCTGGGTTACAAGAGCGAAACTCCCTCTCAAAAATAAAATAAAATAAATAAAAATGGCCAGGCGCTGTGGCTCACGCCTGTAATCCTAGCACTTTGGGAGGCCGAGGTGGGTGGATCACCTGAGGTCAGGAGTTCAAGATCAGCCTGGCCATCATGGTGAAACCCCATCTTTGAAAAATAAATAAATAAAAATTAAAAATTAAGGAAATCAGCAGATGAACCATTCAGAGAGAGAAAAGTTGTTCTATGGAAAGGAATTCAAATACTTTTCTCCCTGGAAGGGAAGAGAACAGAAAAGGAATTAGAATTGAAGTTCAGAGTTGCAAAGGTCATGAAATAACAACCTTGTCTAGTTTTCCTTTCTAAGGAAAGGAAACTGAAAGTGAGAAATCAGGTATTTGATGGAGTGAAGCCAGAGACAAACTCTCAGTCTACCCTTTCCCTTTCTCTGTGAATTCTTCTGGGAAGTGAGCCCCTTAAAATAAATATTGTGGTGAGCCTCATGATTTATTTTTATCTACCCAAATCAGTGTCTTGTCAGTGATTCTCTGAGGATACTGGACTTAAACTGGATTCATGATCTACGGGGAACCAAGTTTCAACCCCCAGGACAGCCTCAATATCCATTTGGCGTTTGAAATGGCTCAGGCCTGGCTGGGCATGGTGGCTTATGACTATAATCCCAGCACTTTGGGAGGCCAAGACAGGCAGATTGCTTGAGCCCAGGGGTTTGAGACCAGCCTAGGCAACATAGTGAGATTCCTGTCTCTACAAAAAGTCAAAACATTAGCTGGGCATGGTAGCATATGCCTGTGATTCCAGCTACTGAGGACGCTGAGGTAGGAGGATCACATGAGCACAGGGAGGTCGAGGCTGCAATAAGCTGTGATCCCACCACTGCACTCCAGCCTGGATGAGAGAGAGAAAGAAAGAAAGAGAGAGAGAGAGAGAAAGAGAGAGAGAGAGAGAGAGAGGGAGGGAGGGAGGGAGGGAGGGAAAGAAATGGCTCAGGCTGAACCTGGGGACAAGGCTAGAGCTGATCTGAATTAAATCAATTTTGTTTCTATAGTCTCAGGCTGCCTAAAGCTAAAAAGGAATGAAGGAACCTCAGCTTTCTCAGTTTTTGCCACACACACAACTACTCAGGGCTAGCAAATATATATATATATATATATATATATATATATATATATATATATTTTTTTTTTTTTTTCCACCGTTGCCAGATGTTTAGATGGCCCACAGGTTGTTTGTCTAACAACTTGATGTTTGCACAGATTGACTGAAGATAATGAGTTTTAGTGAGGATGCTCCTAGGCTTGGCAACTACTCTACGAAATCAAATCATAGAAGCTTGTGAAAAACTCAGTGTTTCCTAAGCAGCATGGCCTCCCAACTCAAAATGCTTTTATTTCTTTAAATATTCATGAACTGGACCTAAAACAACAAAACTCAAGCCACAGTCATTCTTATTTCCTTTACGTGTTATTTTCCACCTCATCACAGAGGACTTTTGCCCAGGGTTGATAAGGCTGAATTGCTTTATAGCTAAGAACCAACTTAGGAATGAACTGTGGGGCCTCTGATTAATCTTGTTGTATTTATGTAGCGTTAACACTCGTTCTGCGTGCCTTATGATTTTGAATTTAAATGGTTTCTTCTAGCCGGTGATTCTACTCTAACCCGCAATTTCTCTGAAGATGCTGAGAATTCATTTCTCTTCTGTGTTTGTAAGCCTAAATAAAAGCAAAGATAAGAACAAAGAAGGTGAAACATCTGAGACCCTGGAGATACCTGTGGACCAAGACTAATTTGGCAGCACTCTCATCCTGCTCAGACAGAGCTAGGTAATAAGCTATGCTGACACACGAGACATTCACATTGGCACAGTTGCTCAGTGACAGTCATCCCTTGGTAGAAAATGTTTTAATATAAAAACTTAATGGAAATATGTAATACCAATTTTCTTTGGGAATAAATTGGTCTCTGAATCATACTCTAAAATCATAAAGGAAAAATGACTAATAACTCAGCACAAAATGAAAAGCTGTGGTTACCTAAGAGGTATCAGTGTGCATTTAGCAATTTCTTCTTTTTCTAGGTGAATACATACATCAGGTCCACAAGACAAACGGTGTCTGTTGCCAGGCTTTCTTTCCATTGTACTCAAGATTTGCTGTTCAGAAAAAGAAATGAGTGGCATTTCACCAGTATGGAAATGTTTCTAATAGAATATAAAAATCCATTAAGCAATTTTCCAGTACATTAGGCTAAAAGTGCTTAAAATGGGTATTTCTTTCTGTGACAATTAAACATCACATAATTTGCAGTCGTATAATGCCCCTATATAAAAAGTGCTAGGACAACTTGGCCTACTTATTGTATTTTAAGACAGAGTCACACTGTTGTTGCGGTTCTGTTGCTCAGGCTGGAGTGCAGTGGCATGATCTTGGCTCACTGCAACCTCAGCGTCCTAGGTTCAAGTGATTCTCCTGCCTCAGCCTCCCAAGTAGCTGGTACTACAGGCTTTCACCACCATGCCCGGCTAACTTTTGTACTTTGTTGGCCAGGTTGGTCTCAAACTCCTGACCTTGTGATCCGACTACCTCAGCCTCCCAAAGTGTTGGGATTATAGGCATGAGCCACTGTGCCCAGCCTTAACCTGGCCTATTTTAGTCATACTTTTGTACTCACTTCCAAATTTGACCTGGTACAGTCAAGGCTACTTCTCAATTATCTGGGAGAGGATTTCCTAATTTGAGGGTCACTCAAGCTTTCATTGGAAGAGTCATTCTTTTAAGCAGTTTGGTATAGACTCGGAATGAGAAAGCCAAGCAACCAGTTGTCCTTATAGCCAGCTTTAACAAAGCATGAGTGGTTTGAGAATCTTGGCTCTGGATAAAAATGACAAGTTATTATTTAAAGAGAAGTATTGATAACTTCTTGTCGACTTCTCTGTTCCAACTTTTATTGATTTATAGATTTCAAAGACCATGACTCTTAGGGAATATAAAAATGTGGAAATCTGTATGCAGAGGCTCATTCCAGCACTTTGGGAGGCCAAGGCAGGAGTATCACTTGAGACCAGGAGTTTGAGACCAGCCTGGGCAACACAGTCAGACCCCCATCTCTACAAAAATTGAATACGTTTTTAAAAAGTGAACATGAAGGTCGAGCACAATGGCTGATGCCTATAATCCCAGCACTTTGGGAAGTCAAGGTGGGAGGATTGCTTGAGCCCAGGAGTTTGAGTCTAGATTGGACAACAAAGTGAGACCTCATCTCTGCAAAAAATAAAAAAATAAGCCAGACATGGTGTTGTGCACCTGTAGTCCCTGCTATACAGGAGGCTGAGGCAGGAGGATTGTGTAAGCCTAGGAGGGGCTGCAGTGACTGTACCACTGCAACTCCAGCCTGCCAGACAGAGTGAGACTCCATCTCAGAAAACAAAACAAAAACAAACAAACAAACAAACAAAAAATCAGTGGAAATGCTTACACTGAAAAGCTACTTTTAAAAGTTACACAGCATAAATCAACTATCACTCAGATCTGACATCCCTTCCCCAACCTATACTTCTCATCTTTAGGCTAACCCGTAAGCAATTCTGCAGTGAAGACAAATAATCTTAGAAAAAGGGTAGGTGATATGCATGAGTGGAAGACTTTCAACTAATGGTATTAGGAAAATGCTACAACTCTAGCAGGGAATAAGATCTAGAATGTTCAGAAAGCAAAGATTGCTATAGAATTATTCCAATTACTTTAATGCCACATAAGATGCTGTTATAGAAACTGACAGTGCTCCAGTTCCAGCAATGTGAAGAAAACAAATTTTTTCACCCCAAAATAATTTGTCATATTTTGAGATGGCTGTTCATAGAGCCAACAGAAGTAGCACTACAAAGCTGTCTTTTGTGGGGGAAACTTGGATTTGCAGAGAATCTGCTTGGTGCAGCCAGGCCTTTCCTTGTCTGGATCTTGGTGAAATCTGCCAGGCACAGTGGCTCATGTCTGTAATCCCAGCACTTCGGGAGGTCGAGTTCGGTGGATCACCTGATTGAGAGCAGCCTGGGCAACACGGTGACTGTCTCTACTAAAAATACAAAAATCAGCCGGGCATAGTGGCTGGCGCCTGTAATCTCACCTACTTGGGAGGCTGAGGCAGGAGAACTGCTTGAGCCGAGACCATGGAATTGTAATCCATCCTGGGCAGTAAGAGTGAAATTGTCTCAAAAGTAAAAAAAAAAAAAAAAAAAAAGGTCTAAAACATTTACCATCTATTCCTTTGAGGGCTGCCACCTGTGGGGCTTCATTTACATAACAAGACCACTTTTGCTAGTCAGGCTTCCTCTTCTCTTGCTCCCACAACCTGTTTTGCCATGATCCGAGCCCACACTTTCTGTAACCTTAAGATGGTATTTAAGCTTCTAAAGCCTATTGGGTAGGGGCTTGGGAGTAATCACTCTGTGGTTCTCCCCCACATGCAAGTTAATATATTTGTATGCCTTTTCTCCGTTGATTTTTTTATGAACCTTCAGAGGGCAAAGGATAATTTTCCCCTTGGCCTCTATAGGAATCTAAGACCCATAGAGTGATGGAAAAAGGAAAGGCTTTGGAGCCAAGCAGGCCCAAGTTTGAATCCCAGCTGTACTGCTTATTCACTGTACAACCTTGGGCAAGTCACAGTTACCCAACTTACAAACAAGGTAACATTAACTTCACAAAGTTGTTTCAAGGATTAATGTAGAAAATCAACTTATCAGGCATTGAAAAAATGGTGGCTCTTAGTATCAATGATCACTTCCCAATCCAGTTAAGTGATGGACCCAATTTTAAGACAGCTGCTAAATCCCAAAAAATGAGTTCTGCAGGAGCAAGCAGTCTTGGCCTCAAGTCCATATATTTGTACCTCATGATCCCTATTTTGTTTTGCCATTTGAACACATTTTCAGCATGTCTAGTGATTCACCTACAAATAAGTCTTTAGGTGGATCTCAGCCTGCATACGCTGTGCATTCTGAAACTCATGAAAATGGTATCTTTTTTTTTTTTTTAAAAGACGGAGTTTCGTTCTTGTTACCCAGGCTGGAGAGCAATGGCGCCATCTCGGCTCACTGCAACCTCCGCCTCCCGGGTTCAGGCAATTCTCGTCCCTCAGCCTCCTAAGTAGCTGGGACTACAGGCACGCGCCACCACGCCCAGCTAATTTTTTGTATTTTTAGTAGAGATGGGGTTTCACCATGTTGACCAGGATGGTCTCGATCTCTTGACCTCGTGATCCACCCGCCTCGGCCTCCCAAAGTGCTGGGATTACAGGCGTGAGCCACTGCACCCGGCGTGAAAACGGTATCCTTGGTCTTCACATTGATTTTGGTTTTATCTTCCCAGCTTTAAAGTACTAACTTTATACACAGCACTGCCCTCTAGCGACTAGAATAATTCTTTCTAGTTTGTTAAGCAGCTCTCTTGGTAAAAATTAAAATAAATTCTGTCGTAGATTGTCTTGAATGTGTTGGTTAACACTAGAGAAATGGAAATCATAATTACAATGAGATACCACCTCACACCCAATAGTAATCTGAAGAACAATTTGACAATTCTTTAAAGTTACATGACCCAGCAATTCCACTCCTACAGAGAATTGAAAACGTGCATACATTTTTTTATTTTTTAAAAGACCGAATCTTGCTCTTTCACCAGGCTGGAGTGCAGTGGCACCATCTTGGCTCACTGCAACCTCCCGTCTCCCGGATTCAAGGGATTCCCTTGCCTCAGCCTCCTGAGTGGCTGAGACTACACGTGTGTGCCACCACACCCACCTAATTTTTTGCATTTTAGTAGAGACAGGGTTTCACCATGGCCAGGATGGTCTCGATCTCCTGACCTCATGATACACCCACCGTGGCCTTCCAAAGTGCTGGGATTACAGGCGTGAGCCACCATGCCTGGCCCAAAAACCTCTTCTATAATGTTCATAGCATTATTCTTAACCAAAAAGCAGAAATATTATGCAAATATCAATTGATGAATGGGTAAATGCAATGGAATATTATTCAGCCATAAAATAGAATGATGTACTCATACATGCTGTAACATGAACCCTGAAAACATGCTGTATTAAAGAAGCCAGTTCCAAAGGACCACATATTGTGTGAACTTATATGAAATGTCCAGAACAGGGAAATCCATACACAAAAAGGAGCCTGGTGATTCCCTAGGACTGGAGGAGAGAACTGGATTGACTGCTAATGGGGGTTTCTTTTGGGGGTGAGAAGAATGATATGAAAAATTGCTTTGGTGATGGCTGTACAACTTTGTGGATATACTGAAAACTTATCTGTACACTTTAAAAAGGTGAATTTTATGGTATGTGAATTATGTCTCGATGTTATTTAAAAATGGAAAACAAAAGTGTTGGCTGTGCTGGGATGGCCATTTAGTACTAACATGTTAGGCACGTTTCCCCTTCAAAAACCCACCCCCAGTCTTAAGAATTTGGCATCCATGGTCTTAATATTTCTTTTTTTAAATAAGCATGTATTAGTTATATAATGAGAGGTAGATCCACATTTTCAAGGAATAATCTTAACTTTTTAAAACAGAAACTGCACTTAAGAACACTAGTAGAGGTTGGTTGACACCCTGAAAGACGGTTTTAACTGTGGGCCAGTCAGCATCAAACTCAGGAAAACCTCTCACCTCCAATGCAGGGGAAATGGACAACAGTAATAGTAGCTGCTGCTGACAGGCTGGGCCCTATGCTTAACTCCATCTATTATCTCCCCCAACTATCCCACATGGCAGGTGTTACCAGTGTTTTATAGATCAGGCAGCTTATATAACTGAGACCAAGGTTGCACATATGCCCCTGCCCTGAAATGCAAGTCTCACAGAAGGCAAAGCAAGATGCCACCTTGGTGTAAATAACAAATTATGACAGACTCAGTAACTACTGAAAAGCAGGGTCTAAGAATATTCACTGATAAAAGGTAGGTGTTCAAATATGACCCAACTTCTATTTTTGTCTTCAGTAATTAAGTGATACACAGCTGAAATTCAGTGAGAAGCTGCTTCTACACAGATACAGGAAGGGTTCTATTATCCAAATGCAAATCTATATAGGTCTGAATTCCTAAAAGTAGAATCTTTTTGAGATGGAGTTTTGCTCTGTCACCCAGGCTGAAGTGCAGTGGTATGATTTCAGCTCACTGCAACCTCCCAGGTTCAAACGATTTTCCTGCCTCAGCCTCCCAAGTAGCTGGGATTATAGGTGCCCGCCACCATGCCCAGCTAATTTTTGTATTTTTAGTGGAAATGGGGTTTCACATGTTGACCAAGCTGGTCTTGAGCTTCTGACCTCAAGTGATTCGCCTGCCATGGCCTCCCAAAGTGCTGGGATTATAACCATGCACCACCATGCCTGACTTCAAAGTAGAGTGTTTACATAAATAACCTTCCCAATACTTTTTTTTTTTTTGAGACAGGGTCTTGCTCTGTCACCCAGGCTGCAGTGCAGAGGTGTGATCTCAGCTTCTCATTGTAACCTCCAGCTCTTGGGCCCAAGCTATTCTCCCACCTCAGCCTCCCCAGTAGCTGGGACTACAGGCCCAAGCCACCAAGCACTACTAATTTTTACATTTTCTTTTTGTTGGGATGTGGTCTCACCATGTTGGCCAGGCTGGTCTTGGACTGCTGACCTTAAGTGATCCATCTGCCTCAGCCTCCCAAAGTGCTAGGATTACAGTTATGAGTCACCATGCCTAGCCTATTTCTTGAATTAAAAAAAAAAAAAAGGGCAGAGAATTTCACATACACTCTTGCATAAGGCCAAACTGGAAAGTGGGCATTTGAACAGCTATCTGCTCCCTTACCCTAATTAGGATGGGCTTCTGGGCCTACCAACCATTCTTTGGTGAAGAGCAGCAATCCATTTCCCCAAAGGCTCTTTAATAACAGCATTGGTGTTTGAGGTTGCATCTTTAAACACGTATTTCAGGATTTAGGAGCTTCTGGAACCATAACTTTAACCCAGCCTTCCATGACAGTCTTTTTACTTTCTACTACTGAACACGACACTGCAATAATAGCAATGAACCGTTTTAGCTTTTTCACTTCTGCAGAAGCTAAAACAACTTCTCCAATATATAAAGGGGCTGGAAAGCTAATTTCTTGGGAAAGAAATACACAGCCTGGCCCTGGCATTTTAGTTCCCAGGAGAGCTGAGATAAGTCCATTGATCAAAACTCCATGTACAATTGTATTTCCAAACTTGGTGTGTTTTGCAAAGTCTTCATTTAGATGCAAAGGATTGGCATCCCCTGTTAACTCTGAGAAGGTAGCCACATCCGTCTGTGTGAAGGCCCTCCTAAGTTCAGCACGGTCTCCAACTCTGATGTGCATATGCTGAAAGTGCTGCAGGGCCAGCACCGGGAGGTTCAGGCAGACTCTCCTCCGAAGCCCACCCCACCAAAGGTGATGGCTGGAAATTAGTGGGAACATCTTCAGCACCCTCAAATTTCACCAAGAGCTTTTAGCCTGCTTCAGTCTTCAAACATGCAGGCACCAAAAAATAAATCTGAGAGTGGAGGAATGTTTCCAAAATAGAAGACTATTCCTTCAATCCAATACTAGTTCCCTACTATTACCAGATAATGCCAGGAGAAATGGAGAAACCTACAAAAGAAAGAAAAAGGTTAAGGCATTGGAAGAAACTGCACTGAAGCACAGGGCAATGTGGAAACATGTCCAGTTTTACAGGATAAACAAAGTGAATGCAGGAGCATTTTAAAGAGCGTCCCAAGAGGAAGCCTTCAATAACAAGTAGTCATAGCTTAAAAGGAGCATACAATATATAACACCCAAAGCATTAAGTGTTAAATAAAAAATAAGACTTAACCACAGAGTAGCAACTTTTATCCCAGAACAACCTCCCACAGACTTTAAAATCTGAAGTGCTGTGTCTCACATTTTTTGAAAACAAGTCCTTTATGTTCCCCTACTTAGATCATGTTAACCATATTACATTCATGCAAGCACAAAAATGAGCTATGAATATTAAGAAGCGATTGAGCCATCATCAGTCTCGTTTGGAATATGTGAGGGAACAGTCTTTACCTGAATCACCCGGAAAGCACATTTTTTGCCTTTATAGGATCCTAACAAGGCCAAAGAGCTCCACAATTTGACAAGACCACTGCAGAAAAGACCAGGAAAATACATAGCGTATCATAGGCTGAAAACAAAATGAACCTCAACTAAGGTTTCTGAAATATTCACTTCTGGCTTTGCAACTATAACCATCAATGGGAAACTAGAGCTGTAACCAAAGCATGTTTTGCTCTCTCTAGGGTACAAGTTTCTGGTGGATGGAATGTTCATATTCATCCCAGTTAAAATCCCCAAAAGCTGCTCAGAGTTCACAATATTCTTCTCATTCTCAGAGGAAAGAATTTTTGCTCTAATTCTCATCAGTCTCTCTGACTTGTTATACTAGAAATGCCCACTCTCTGTCATACCTGCTACATATTCTCAAGATGGCTGACAAGGTCTTCTCTTCATAGCGTAGGATGTCCAAAGGCAAGGCGGCATCAACCTGGATATGGAATAATACTATTAGCAGGCTGTTAGCACCATTATTCTTGCTTGTCAAGTTTTGACTATTCTCCACAAATGCTGTATTTTATTTAATGGTGCTGGTGCTTTGAATTGCCTATTTGATTATAGCTCCCCCTGCCTAGAAAGTTCTGCCTACACCTCTTCATATGGCTGATAATCAGTCCCTCATCCTTTGAGCCTTCATTTAAATTGTTCCTTGACTGATCTTTAAGATGAGACAAAGTCAGCTTGCTATGTTCTTTCTTGTACAGGAACACCATACTTCCTCTTTCATAATTCTCTTCATTCTTGTCACTAATTGCCTAACATGTTTTCCTACTACAAGAACCAAGACCATCAGTCCATGCGGCAGAGGCCATGTCTGTTTCTTCGCAGCTATATAAATCCCAAGAACAAAGTTTTCTATCTCACATACAAGTACACACAGGGATTTTTTTTTTTTTTATTTTGTATTTTAAAAAATTACAGATTCACAAGAGATTGCAAAGAAATGTACAGGGAAGTTCCATGCACTCTTCATCCAGCCTCCCACAGTGTCAATGCCTTGTGTAACTACAGTACAGTAGCAAAACTAGAATTACTTTATTTCAAGTCTTCTATAAATGGAAACACCTAGTATGTAATGTTTTGTTACATTACACAGGCTTTTTTTCATTCAGCATAATTCTCTGGAAATTCATCCATGTTGTGTCTATCAATAGGTCATTCCTTTTCATTGCTGAGTATATTCCATAGCAGGAATGCACCACAGTTTATTCACCCATTAAAGGATATGTGGGGTATTTTCAGTTTCATTATTATTAAAGCTACTATGAATATTCATGTACAATGTACAGGCTTTGTGTGAACCTAAGTTTTTATTCCTCTGGAATAGACGCCCAGGAGTGCTAATGCTGAGTTCTATGGCAGATGCATGTTTAGTCTGCTAAAGATATCGCCAAGCTATGTTCCAGAATGGCTGCACCATTTTACATACCCATTATAACATATGAGTGATCCAGTTTCTTCGCATTCTTGCTAGCATTTAGTGTTGTTATTTTTTCAGTGATTCTGCTTGGTACATAGTGGTATCACATTGTGTCATTAATGTGAAGTTCCCTAATAGCTAAACATCTTTCCATGTGCTTGCCAACCATACATCCTCTTAGGGAAATGTCTGTTAATTTTTCTGCCCATTTTCTAATTGGATTATTTGGTTTCTTACTATTGAGTTTTGATACGTCTTTATTATTATTATTTTTTGAAAAAGTCTCACTCTGTCACCCTGGCTGGAGTGCAGTGGTGCAATCTTGGCTCACTGCATTCCCCATCTCACAGGTTCATGCACTTCTCCTGCCTCAGCCTCCTGAGTAGCTGGGATTACAGGCGTGTGCCACCATACTCAGCTAATTTTTATAGTTTTAGTAGAGACAGGGTTTTGCTCTATGCTACTGAAATGAACTTGGCACCCAAAAAAAGAGAAAAAAAGATAGGGTTTTGCCATGTTGGCCAGGCCGGTCTCAAACTCCCAACCTTAGGTGATCCACCCACTTCGTTCTCCCAAAGTGTTGGGATTACAGGCATTAGCCACCACACCCCGCCTATTGTTATTATTATTATTATTTTTGAGACAGGGTCTTGCTGTTATCCAGGCTGCAGTGCAGTGGTGCAATCATAGTTCACCACAGACTCAAACTCCTGGCCTCAATCAATCTTCCTGCCTCAGCCTCCCAAAGTGTTGGGATTACAGGCCTGAGCCACTGCACCAGGCCAAAAGTCATTTATATATTCTAGACACTAGTTCTTTGTTGGATATGTGGTTTACAATTATTTTCCCCCAGTCTGTAATTCATCTTTTCATCCTTTTTTTCCCCCACAGTGTCGTGATCACGGCTCACTGCAACCTTGAGCTTCTGGGCTCAAGCAATCGTCCCACCCCAGCCTCCTGACTAGCTGGGACTATAGGTGCACCACCATGCCCAGCTCAATTTTTTAAATTTTTTGTACAGATGAGGTTTCACCAGATATCCAGGCTGGTCTGGAACTCCTGGGCTCAAGTGATCCACCTGCTCTCAAAGTGGTGGGATTATAGCTATGAGCAACTGTGCCTGTCATTTTCATCCTCCTAAGAGTCTTTTGCAAAATGTAAGTTTTAAATTTTGATGAGGTACTTAGCATATTTTGATTTGACGGACAAACATTTGATGTGATGTACAGAGGTATCAGAAAACAATTTCCTGAGCATCTTCTGTCTTCTCTCAACTTCCAAAACCCTACTTCTGTTCTCAAAGGAATGCTAAGACAAATCTGCTTAAAGTGTGGGCCTACGACAAAATAGGGAGTTGAATCAGAATGTAAAACAATAGTATAATTAATCACAGTGTTTAGTTCAGTTCATCTTTTTTTCATAAGAAGTCTTTTTTTTTTAACTTTTTGTTTTTTTTTTGAGATGGAGTCTTGCTCTGATGCCCAGGCTGGAATGCAGTGATGCCATCTCAGCTCACTGCAACCTCCACCTTCAGAGTTCAAGCAATTCTCATGCCTCAGCCTTCCAAATAGCTGGAACTACAGGTGTGCACCACCACACCCAGCTAATTTTTATGTTTTTAGTAGAGAAGGGAGTTTCACTATGTTGGCCAGGCTGGTCTAAAACTCCTGACCTTAAGTGATTTGCCTACCTCAGCCTCCCAAAGAACTGAGATTACAGGCATGTGCCACAATGCCCGGCCCATAAAGAGACTTTCTCATTAAAAGTGATAGTGCACTGGTTCTGCTGCAAATTCCTCATCTCTTCAAGATGGTCAGAGAGTTTGCAGGTTGCCAGTCTAGGCCACACTTTGAGTAGCACTGTGCTAGAACAAACATCTGTCTAACATGTTCCTTGTCAAATAGAAGGCATAATAGAATAAACCTATAAAAATTCATCACTTCTCAAAGTCTACTTCTACAACTTCAAACACAGTTTTAAAATAATATCTAGGGAAACCCTCATATACTACTGGTTGGAATGTAAATGTACAACCACTATAGAGAAAAGTATGGAGGTTTCCCAAAAAACTAAAAATAGGTCGTTTGATGGCTCACGTCTGTAATCCCAACACTTTGGGAGGACAAGGTAGGAGGTCTGCTTGAGGCTAGGAGCCTGGGAAACATACTCAGACCTCATCTCTACAAGTAAAAAAATTGGCTGGGCGTGGTGGCACATGCCTGTGGTCCCAGCTATTTGGGATGCTGAAGTGGGAGAATCACTTGAGCTTGGGTGGCTGAGGCTTCAGTGAACCATGACTATGTCACTGTACTCCAGCCTGGGCATCACAGCAAGACTTCATCTTGAACACAAAAAAGAAAACAGAACTAAAAATAGATTACCATTTAATCCAGCAAGTCTACTATTGAGCATACATCCAAATGAAAGGAAATTAATATCAAAAAGACATGTGCACTCTCATATTTACTGCGGTACTATTCACAATAGCCAAAATACAGAATCAACTTAAGCGCCAATCAATGGATAAATGGATAAAGAAAATGTGATATATATTACAATGGAATATTATTCCATAATATTCCATAAAAAAGAATGAAATCCTGTCATTTGCAGCAATATGAATAGAACTGGAGGCCATTTTGTTAAGTAAGTCATATACAGAAAGACATGTTCTCACTCATGTGAGAGCTAAAAAAGTAGATCTCATGAGGATAGAAAGACTGGGATGGGGGTAGAGAGGATGGAAGGATGGGGGTAGAGAGGATAAAGAGGAAAAAAAGAAATAAAAATGTGTTTATTACAATAAACGAATAAAAAATTTAAAAATGCAGAGTTGTACAATTAAAAAAATTTTTTTAATGTTTGAAAAGCATTCTTTCTGAATTTCTTACAAAGATCTTTGGCATGTTCAATCTACCAAGTGATTCCATACCTCCCCAAACAGGTCCTTCAGGGCAGAAATAAGAAGCTGTTTGAACTGCGCAGCATTCAGTCCAACTCCACCATCTTGAAATTCTCTAAAAAAACATGAAAAAAAAAGGCATCATATTAAATTTCATTCTGTTGGGATTCATGTTAGAAAGTAATCTAAAATAGAACTTAGGAAACTAAACTTACAGGCAGACTTTCATGTAGTGGTGCTCGGAAGGGTTTTTGTAAACTACTCTTTCATATGTGGCAGCAGGCGCAGGCATCTTTTCCAGTGCTGATCACACCTACAGTAAGTCAAAAGGGCTAGAAATGACCAATGCACATGCTATTTTTCAGTTTTGATGAGAATTTGGCATATTTGTTTTTTTTTTTCCTTTTTGAAGCAGGGTCTCATCCTGTCACCTTGGTTAGAGTGCAGTGGTGCAATCACAGTTTACCGCAGCCTCGACCTCAGGCTCTCCAGGCTCAGGTGATCCTACAGCCTCAGACTCCTGAGTAGTGGGAACTATAGATGCATGCCACCACATCCAGATAATTTTCTATTTTTTTGTAGTGACAGGGTTTCACTATGTCGCCCAGGGTGGTCTCGAACCCAAGGGCTCAAGCAATCTGCCCACCTCGGCCTCCCAAAGTGCTGGGATTACAAGTGTGAGCCACCATACCCCACCTTCCTGTTTTTTTGTTTTTTTTTTTAAGATGGAGTCTTGTTCTGTCGCCCAGGCTGGAATGCAGTGGCACGATCTTGGCTCACCGCAACCTCTGCCTCCAAGGTTCAAGCAATTCTCCTGGCTCAGCCTCCTGAGTAGGTGGGATTACAGGCATGTGCCACAATACCTAAGTAATTTTTTTGTATCTTTAGTCAACAGGATTTCACCATATTGGCCAGGCTGGTCTCGAACTCCTGACCTTGTGATCTGGCCACCTCAGCATCCCAAAGCGCTGGGATTACAGCCATGAGCCTTCATGCCTGGCATCCTGTTTGGTTTTTAAGACTTCTGTTCACAGTAACTCATCTAATTCTGGTCAAACTAAGGTTACCCATATGAAAACAAGTTTTATAGTCTGTATGTGCCAAATCACTGTACTCTTACTTAAAACCTAGTAACATAATTTTGGCTAACAATTTTCTTACTGAGCACCCAGCTCTGTGCTAATAAACATTTCACATGCCTTAGCTTCTGTCTTCAAAATGCTTCTGAGGTAAGAGGTATTATTATTCCTACTTTCGAGAAGAGAACACAGAGGTTTAATAAACATAGGTAACATCTGCTCAAGGGTACCCAGAGATTCCAACCACTCCTGAGCCTGCTCAAGACCTGTTATGATGCCTCTTAATCCAAAGGAAAAGAAAAGGCTTAAAGGAGTAAAATCTAAGACTTGAAGGTCCTCTTCTCGTTTACTCTCCAACACAGAACGCAAACAGAAGAAGGAGGGGTGGCCGTTCAGCCATCTCCCCCCATCCTGGGTCTGCCTGCTTTCAGTCCAAAAGCCGGGTCTGTGCAGGACCATCCATGAAAGACAGAGCATAAACAGCACAGGGCTTGAGAAGAGGAATTCCTGGAATGGGCACTCAACGCAGCTTCTAAAAGGTGTGAACTACCAAGAAGGTACAACATGCTGATCTCTCTGTAGACTGCTCCTCTCCTTGGCTCCACACCAACCTTGCTCTCCCCATGGACGGGTCCTACTCATCTTTCAACTTTCAGTTTAAATGTCACCTCTTCATGGAGGTCTTTTCTGACACCTTGCTCTAAATTAAGTCCCCATGCTATGCAATCTCTTAACATTGTCTGTTTAATATATGGATCACCCACTACAGGGACCAGGAAACTGAGGCCCAGTTAAGCAAAGGGACTGATCCAAGGTCATAGAGCTATGGACCAGCATTTCCAAAACCATTCTGGGTTAGACCAAGTGCTAACCACTCCCAGATGACGACCTCTGGAGAAAAGTCAGGATCAAGGAGCTACATCTACCAATCCATTCAACAAACATTAATACTTTGGGGCCTGCAGTGGTGCTCATGCCTATAATCCCGACAGTTTAGGGGGCCAGGAGTTTGAGACCAGCCTGGGAAACATGAGACCCTGTCTCTACAAAAATTTTTTTTTTTTTTTGAGACGGAGTTTCACTCTTCTACAAAAATTTTTTTAATTAGCCAGGCATGGTAGTGTGTGCCTGTAGTCCCAGCTACTCCAGGGGCTGAGGTGGGAGGACAGCTTGAGCCTGAAAGGTTAAGGCCACAGTGCACTATGATTGTACCACTGCACTCCAGCCTGGGTGACAGAGCATGACCCCGTCTCCAAAACAAACTAACAAACCAAAACCACTATCATACTATGATAAAAAGTAGGTATTCAAATGAGGGAAAACTGATAGTGGTAGGCCTATATATTCAAAAGAATCCTTGGTTTCAGGACAGGAGTAATAGTTATCTGATGCTTCTTTCCCAGTCACTAGTGTGTCCCCTGAGTAGGGCAGGGAGAACAGAAACCTCATCTGTCTTTTTCATTGCTTGGCACCTGTGTTTTTTAGTGTTACTAACTGCCTTGATGGAGCTGGCTGCCTAAAGTAGGGGAGTGAAATTAGGCCAGGGGGTTAGACGCCAGTCAAATGAAGACTTATGGAACATTCATGAGATGGATAGTGGTGATGGCTGCACAGCGTTGTGAATATACTTAACGCCACTTATGATAAATTTTGTTACATATTTTTTTGCAATTAAAATGACAGCAATGTCCTCTGGAGGCTGTTCTGAGATGAAAGGAGAGGATGCCTGGGAAACTCTTCTGTACAGACTGGTATTAAATATATTCACCAGGCTCTCCATAGATGTGGGCTCAAGAAGTCACTGTCATCATCATCTTTAAAGTAGTTTTGTTTGTTTTGAGATGGAGTCTCACCCTGTTGCCCAGGTTGCAGTGCAATGGCGCTCACAGCTCACTGCGACCTCCGACTCCCAGGTTCAAACGATTCTCCCGCCTCAGCCTCCCGAGTAGCTGGGATTACAGGTGTGTGCCACTATGCCCAGCTAATTTTTGTATTTTCAGTAGAGATGAGGTTTCGCCATGTTGGCCATGTTGGTCTCGAACTTCTGACTTCGTGATCCACCCGCCTTGGCCTCCCAAAGTGCTGGGATAAAGTCAGGCTTTTTGTTCGTTTGTTTTGAGGTGGAGTCTCACTCTGTCACCCAGGCTGGAGAGCAGTGATGCCATCTCGGGTCACTGCAACCTCTGCTCTTGAGGTGAAGCAATTCTCCTGCCTCAGCCTCCCGAGTAGCTAGGATTACAGGCGGACGTCACTATGTCCAGCTAACTTTTATAATGGGGTTTCACCATGTTGGCTCAGGCTGGTCTCGAACTCCTGGCTTCAAGTGATCCGCCGGCCTCGGCCTTGTGAAGTGCTGGGAATACAGGCGTGAGCCACCATGCCCGGCCTAAAGTCAGTCTTTTATAGAGGCTGCAGGGATGCTCCTAAACTGATTGCCCCTACTCTCCATCTCTACGGCAGCCAGTGAGTCTATTAACATCTACTCAAGCTACATCATTTCTCTGCTCAAAACCTTGCTATGGTTCCCGTTTTAGCCAGAGTAAGGCTGAAGTCCCTAGAGCAGCCTGCAAGGCGCTGCCTGATCCACAGGGCTGCTCTCTCCACAGCTCTGACCTCAGGCCCTGCCATTCTCCCTCCACTCAATCCCCACCACCACCCAGGTCTAGCCTAGCCCTTTCTAATGCGCCAGTCTCGCTCCCGCCCCTGGGCCTCGGCTCTAGCTTTTCCCCACGCAGGGAATGCTCTTCCTCCAGGGAGCCACCTGGCTCAAACCCTTGCCTCCTTCCTGGCTTAGCTCAAATCTCACTCGCTTTGGCCCATGCCCTTCTCAGCTAACACCGCATCCCACTCCATGCCCCGTCCCTTTCTTCTTCCTAGCCTTTTTCTACGACAATTATGTAACCCGTTTATCTTTATCTGTACTTCCCTCCCCCACCCCAACAGAAAGTCGACTTCCAGAATCCGTGTAGTTCACTGCTGTCGGCCCTAAAACACTAGCAACGTACAGTTTTTGAACTAAATCAATTAATCACTTTAAAAAGCTAAATTTCCCTACTCTTGACCACTTGGGCGGCTTTCAATTTTTTTCAGCAACCACCACTCAGCGCTCACCTCGCGCCGGACGCATGAAGTATGCACAGGACACGGTTTCGAGGTCCCGCCCGGGCCTAGCAGCCACCCTCTGCGATCGAGACCCAACGCGGCACCGTACGGAGGCCTTCGACACCCGGGGCCGAAGAGGACAAGCAGCCAACGCCGCGCCGCCCGCCCCGCGCATGCGCTGCCGGCGGGGCCGACAGAGACGGCTCCCGGACAACAACCGCTCTCTGGAGGGCTTCTACCTACCCAGTCTCCGTCGGACTAACTAGCCTGACGCCTGCCCAGTCTCCTATTCCCCGTAAGCACCCGTCAAGGCTTGCGGCTCACCGGCAGCAGAAAGAGCTGGGCCTGGGAAACTCATGGTGTCTTTACGTTTGGCTCTCCTCGCCCCGCCCCGCCGTGCGTGACGTCCCGGCGGATATGACGACACCGTGCGGCGTCTTCCTACGGACCCAGGCGCGAATCCTGATCCGGAGCTGAGAGGGGCCGAGCTCGGCGCCCTCTGGTGTCCACTCCGGGAAAGCGGTGTATGCAATTTGCTTAGGGTGCTGTTTAGGGCGTGTTTATTCTGCCCTGAATGTGCTTCATAGTCATCCATTTCTTCATGCATTCATTCATTCATTGAACAATTGTTTTGTTGGCTTTTTGAGACAGTTTCACTCTGTCGCCCAAGCTGGAGTGCACTGGCGTGGAGTAGCTGGGACTACAGATATGGGCCACCATGCCCGGCTAAGTTTTGTATTTTTAGTAGAGACGGGGTTTCACCATGTTGGCTAGGCTGGTCTCACACTCCTGGCCTCAAGTGATCTGCCCGCCTCTCCCTCCCAAACTGCTGGGATTACAGACGTGAGCAACCGCGCCCAACTCATTCTACAAATTTATTTATTTATTTATTTTTGAGACGGAGTTTCGCTCTTGTTACCCAGGCTGGAGTGCAATGGCGCGATCTCGGCTCACCGCAACCTCCGCCTCCTGGGTTCAGGCAATTCTCCTGCCTCAGCCTCCCGAGTAGCTGGGATTACAGGCACACGCCACCATGCCCAGCTAATTTTTTGTATTTTTAGTAGAGACGGGGTTTCACCATGTTGACCAGGATGTTCTCGATCTTTTGACCTCGTGATCCACCCGCCTCGGCCTCCCAAAGTGCTGGGATTACAGGCTTGAGCCACTGTGCCCAACCTGCAAATTTGTATCTAGCATCTCCTCTTCTCAATATCTCCTGTGTCAAGCACTCCCCAAAGACAGGACCCACTCTCATTGTCTCTTGTGACTCCCAGCACATAGTAGGTGTCCTATCTAGGTCGACCTGAAAAGACCTAAAAAGTTAAGACTTACTTTGTGCCAGGCACTGTGCAAACTATTTTACACATATTGTCTCATGTAACCCTCACACAATCCTGAGATGGCTATTACTATGATCATCACCATTTTAGAGGTGGAAACTGAGGCACAGGCTAGGCGCTGTGACCCATGTCTATAATTCCAGCCCTTTGGGAGGCTGAGGTGGGCAAATCACTTGAGGCCAGGAGATCAAGACCAGCCTGGCAAACATGGTAAAACCTGGTCTCTACTAAAAATACAAAAATTAGCTAGGTGTTGTGGCGCACACCTGTAGCTCCAGCTACTTGGGAGGCTGAAGCAGGAGAATCGCTTGAACCCAGGAGGCAGAGGTTGCAGTGAGCCGAGATCACACCACTGCACTCCAGCCTGGGCAGCAGAATGAGACTCTGCCTAAAACAAAAAGAAACCAAAGCACAGAGAGGCAAAGTTATTTGCTCAAGATCACAGTTATAAGCGGTGGCCTGGGCTGTCTGATTCTAGCCAGTGCTGTCCACACTGCACTGTATTATCACCAATTTAGGAGCTGCAGTGGGAAGGGAACCTTTAGTGTAAGCCCCATGAGGATGTGGCCTTGTCTGTGTTGCTCACCACTGCATCCCAGTTCCTGGCACCCAGTGGTGACCCAGCATCTGTTTATTGAACACATTCATTGGTAAATGGATATGCTGGTTCTGCCTGGGTTGGGGGCAAAGGGTTGCCTTGCACAGGACAGCTGAGTCAGCAGAGATCTCCTTCCTCAATTCTTTTCTCAAAATCCCACTGTGTTGTGTCCAGAAGCTTCAGTCCTTGGCCATGGCTATGCTCTCCAGTTCTGCGGTTCCTACTTCCCTTTTTTCTTCCCTCAGAGGAGACAGGGCTTGTTCCAGATGTGGGAAGAGGTGGAGAAAGCAAACACAGAACCCACAGACCCTGGCATTTGCTTTCTCAAAGCAGCTTGATTTCAGAAGCTGCCAGAACTTGCTTCAAATACATTCTGCCACTTACCCAGCTCCCTCATCTGTCACATGGAGAGACTATTAGCATCTTCCTCACAGAGTTGAGGAGAAAAGGGTCGATGGTATAAAGTGTCTGGCATCCCAGGAAACCCTCAGTAATAGGAGAGGGTTCCTGTCAGCCAGCTGCCTGGGAAACGTATCCTGCCAGGCGGCCCAGGAAATCCAGAGCCGCTCCTGCATTTTGAACTTGAAGGAACAATGGATAATTTTCACCCTGCTGCAACAAACCCTGAAAATGAAGTACCTTCCCAGTTGCCTGAATTCTCTCATGCTGTCTTATTAATTCAGAGTGGAAAATAAAAGAGATGCATTTGAATGATAAAGACAAAAAAACTTTAGTTTTTCGGCCAGGTATGGTGGTTCACGCCTGTAATCCCAGCACTTTAGGAGGCCGAGGCAGGCAGAACACCTGAGGTCAGGAGTTCAAGACCAGCCTGGCCAACATGGTGAAATCCCATCTCTACTAAAAATATAAAAATTAGCCGGTTGTGGTGGTGGTGTGCACCTGTAATCCCAGGTACTTGGGAGGCTGAGGCAGGAGAATTGCTTGAGCCCAGGAGGCAGATGTTGCAGTGAGCCAAGATCAAGGCACTGCACTCCAGCCTAGATGACAGAGTAAGACTCTGTCTCAAAAAACAAACTGTTTTTCAACTAAATTTTATTTAAAAACATTTTTTTTTAACAGTGTCTCACTATCACCCAAACAGGGTAGTACAATGATGTGATATTGGCTCACTGCAGCCTCAACCTCCCAGGTTCAACCAATCCTCCTGCCTCAGCCTCCCAAGTATCTGGGACTACAGGCACGTGCCATCATGCCCAGCTAATTTTTAACTTTTTTGTTGAAACGGGATCTCGCCATGTTGCTCAGGCTGGTCTTGAATTCCTAGGCTCAAGAGATCCTTCTAGGTTGGCCTCCCAAAATGCTGGGATTACAGGTGTAAGCCACCTCACCATGCCTAAATTTTAGTTTTTGAATAGGTCCTGCAGGCTTACAGCATACATTTCAAATGACATAAAGGGATAAATATTAAAAAGTGAGTCTCCCTTCCACCTCCTCCCGTCAGCCCCTCCCCTCTCCAGGAGCAACCACTGGTATGAGTTTCTTAAGTGTCCCCTGAGAAATATATGAGGGCTTTTCCCTCTTGACAATATATCTACACATTGCTCTAAATCAAAACACACAAAGCTGCTTCAGTCTTTTTTACTTTTTTTGGAGAGAGGGTCTCAGTTTGTAGTACAGGCTGGAGTACAGTGGTGCAAACATAGGTCACTGCTGCCCCGAACTCCTGGGCTCAAGTGATCCTCCTGCCTCAGCCTCCAGAGGAGCTGAGACTACAGGCATGTGACACCATAACCAGCTAATTTTTTTTTTTTTTGAGACAGTCTTGCTCTATTGCCAGACTGGAGTGCAGTGGCGAGATCCCAGCTCACTACAACTTCCGTTTTCTGGTTTCAAGCAATTCTCCTGCCTCAGCCTCCCAAGTAGCTGGGACTACAGGCACGCTCCACCATGCCCAGCTAATTTTTTATATTTTTAGTAGAGACGGGGTTTCACCATGTTGGCCAGGATGGTCTCGATCTCTTGACCTTGTGATCTGCCCGCATCAGCCTTCCAAAGTGCTGGGATTACAGGCGTGAGCCACCATGCCCAGCCCCCAGCTAATTTTTTTTAAATTTTTATTTTTAGAGAGGAGATCTTGCTATGGTGTCCAGGCTAGCTGCCCAGTCTTTATGAAAGTTACCCTGTACTGCATTGGGTGGAGCCACTTGGCTCTTAAGAGGACCATTTCAGGCACCCTCTGTGTTTCAGAGCAAAGCTGTTGTGGCAGGTCTGTATTTTATGTTCCTGAAAGGTACGGCAGCTAAGAAGGAGTTAGGTCCACACTTCCCCTCTGCTGTATGGCTCCCCTCCCTGCCTTGCTTACTGGTGCCAAATGGATTTTTTTTGCTTAAGTTGAGAAGCTTTCTCAACTTGGGGAAGAAAAGGCAAGAGAGAGGGGTCCAAGTAAGATTCCAGTCCCCCTGTTCTCCATTGATTTCATGGAAAACATCCCCTTATGTCAGCAGATTGTGGAGATAGGACAAAGGAAGTGAAAATGATCAGAAGTTAAAACCTACAGAACTGTAGCCATTGTTTCCATTTAGAGAACAAGATCACATAGTTTAGGAAGATTTGCCAAGTACCAGATAACTTGCTCACATTATTCCATCAATCATGCAATGTCACTATTTATTACTACTTTTCACAGATGAAGAAAATGAAGCCAAGTTATTTATCTAAGGTGGTAAGAGGCTCCAGAACCTAAAACGCTGCATTCTATCCCTCCCATGTGGAAGACCAGGCTGAGAGCTGCTCCTTTGAGGCAACTCAGGCATCATCTCCAAACAAGAAACTCTGAAAAGCAGGCAGTGCTTGAGAATCCCTAGAAGCCAAGCCTGAGAGAGGGACCCTAATGGAAATGATTTATTGAGAGATAGCCCCCAAGTCTGTAAAGGAGGGAAGCAGGATAGGGCAGGAGACGAAGCCAAGCAAAGATGTGGATTTGAAACCGGTCCAATCATCACATAGAACTGATGCTTATGGCTTCTTTTGAGTAAATGTAGAAATTGACCCTCTCAGTCTTAAAATTTGAGAAAGCTACATTTGTCTTA